TTTTCACCAATAACCCAAAAGAGGTAATATTCGCATAATCATACAACGACGGCCACCACTGGTAAGTAACTCCCAATATTTTACCTCTCGAACAGAAATTTTCGGTCAATTGATTAATCTATTGTAAATTTTTTTTTTTGTTTGTTATTTACTTAATATTCAAATGCAAATTAGAATAATTTATATCCAAAAACTTTCTCCTCTCGAATATTATAGTAAACTTTTACTCTTCAAAGCCTAATATCCTGATGAGCCGAATATCATCGCAAACTTTTTCTTAATCAACGTCATCAGGAGTTACTAATCGACGGGTGAAATTTAGTTTCTGATCTTTGAACTTTTGAAAGTCAGACGGTGACAAATTCTCCAAAATGAAATTGTATAATTACACAACCTGTGTTGTATGGTTCTTTTATTAATGTACTGTATGTAGGTAAGGTACGTATGTATTTTTTAAAAGTTATACAATTATGGTTTTTCCAGAACAAATAGTACTTGTATGGGTTTCTAATATTATACAATTATGACTAAACAAATACTTGAAATTGTATGATCAACCCTAAGGTTGCCGGGAAAAACCCGGAAGTTTCGAAATCGAAACCCGTCGAAACGTTTTGGCACATATTTTTATTAAAGGCAAAATTGCGAAAGTTTCGGCGGGTGGCAAAAGTTTCGACAGATGGCAAACCCATCGAAACCTTCTGATACTAAAATACAAATTTTTAAATTTAAAAATTTATTATCTTCGTTTAATGAGATGAGCAAAAGATCACTTTCTTTTATAATATTTTATATTTATAGATAAAAAAAATTTACATATTGATCATTATCATCAAGTCCAGTTATATTCATTTAAACTCATGAAATATTTTTATTTTCTCCTACTTCATCCATTAATCTTTCATTTGAAAATTCATCTAAAGTTGGAACCGGTGTTAGCCGCAGTTTATACAGTGCCTTAGATGATCTTCAACTGCGCCAAATATGTTAAAACATATAATACATGTATTTTTTGATCGACTTTATAATACATGTATCGAATAGTTTACTTTTTAATAAAAATATTATATAGACTACTTTTCATTACTTATTATTTTCATTATATGTACTAATTGAAAGGCGTAGTATAGTATTAGTTAACAATTTTATATAAATAGACCTGTAAGTTGACCTTGAGTCGACAGAGTTCGATCAGATAGTTTTCTGAATAAGTCTTGGGACTAGACTTATAACTCTATAGTTAATAAAGTTACTATTTTACACTTTCAACCTTCTTCTTGTCTTCATCATAGGATTGATCGTGGTAACCTACTACACAAGTGAATCGTAATAATAAATTGTTTTGTTTGTTAATCATTAATTTCTCTTAGGAATGGCCTTTGAGATAATTGTGTTGTTAAGCTTATTAGTTTTGTTAGCTTGGTTTGAGACGATTCCAGGTCTAATACCGGATTCGACATTCTGATTTAAACCCAGATATCCACAGGGTGTAATTTATTAAGCTTTAAAAAAAATTTATTTTGATCGGATTTAAATTCGGATCCGATTTTTAAAATTAAATAAATCCGGATATAAAATAAACCCGGTTCCTACCTTTATCATCATCAACTAGTATCAGTGCTTCCAATTTAAAACCGCTCGATAAATAATGTATTATTTGGAAAAATCAAAAATCGTTTCTTTTTGAACTGTAAATTCAAACTCAAGTGAAGATAATTTATGCACGCTTACAACCCTTAATTATATGTTTAATATCTTTAAAAAAAGGTCAAAATTTATTAATGAAAAATAGTAGTTTGTGTTATACAAATCAAAAAAATTATACGACAAATGCCCATTAATATTTAGTAATGAAAATTGTTATTTGTAAATAGTATAGCAATAAAAATAAAACAAAAAAATATAATAGATGAATAAAGTATAAACACACCCGAAAAATCAAAATAAAGATTCATGAAAATTCATGAGAGAGAAAGAAAGAAAATATCTATCTTTTAGTCCTTAATTCTGTCCGGAATTAAATGAACTTTCTCCTTGTTGAGGTTGAACATCCCCATTTTGAACTATTATATTTGGTTGAAAAGTATTAATCAAATTCGAATTAGAATTACCAATACTGTTGGAGACCAAATTAGCGGTATCAAATGGAACTCAAGATTTCTTTGTGTCTATTAGAAAAGTTCAAGGGTGATTGTTGCTGCAGTTCGCTTCGTCTTAAACCATAAATATTTAAGTTTAAATATTGAACTATATTTGAATGTGAAATCATTTCACATGCAACTTTATTAATTCTTTGATCATTAGGATGTTGAAAATAAAATTCAAAAAGATTGTTTGAGCTTGAGCAAAGACGGTTACTTGATAGGTATAAGTTATTAATTAATAATTGAGATATAGTTCATTAAAGGTTAACTCTTTATAAGTAATGAGATAAATTTGAACATCGTTGCTTGGCCTGTAATAGAATGACCATTCAGGTTCTTGAGTAGTATTTTGAGTAGGTTGTAAAGGTTGATCGTTAATATTATTTGGAGGCGCAGAGGGTGAAGTAGAAATAGTCTCGCTAGAAGTTACAGTGTATCCGTTACTGTCTTGAGGATTGTGCGAAGTAGACATACATAAATAGACTTTTTAAGGTGTTTGATCTGTAAAATATACGCGTTTGTATACAATCAAGAACATGGCAAGGACATAAAAAGCAATCTATTGCGCAACGAGTAGTTAGTGTGGATTTTTATATCTTTCTTTTTTAAAAAAAATGAAATGAAATGAAAACAAGTTGCTTATATACCGACAGATTATGACCTAGCCATATTGTCATAATTTGTAAATATACAATATAAAATTAACAAATATATTAGCTCATTTATAATTATGCATTGCTAGAAATAGATGTAATAAAAACTATTTATACAAAAAATTACTATATGGGGAGATTTCTAGAAAAATCGGGTTCCACGAATTTTAAAATAATCACAATTAACTTTGTTTCGATATCAATAAAAAAAAGTAAAATATATTTAATAATAAATATACAATAGCCCAAGAAAGTATTCGCGATTTTGTAATTTTAGTAAATTTTTAATTTAAAATTCGATTTTTAGCATAAAAAAAAATATTGTAACGTTACATTGTCGATAAATCCTTAACAAGAAATATTGTAACGCTAAAATCGTTAATA